TAATTGGTCAATCAACAAATTGCATGGGTTAAAATTTTGTATTCCCTCCTGTTAATTTTTGTGTTCCCAGTACGTTCACTCCTGTTGGCTTCTTCTGCAGTTAATAATAAAAAAATATTGATAATATATATCTATATGTATGTACAAGATTCAAGAATATTCTAATATTTAACAAAAAAAAATTTTTTTTTTGATAATTATATATATTATTTTTTTTAAATGTTTATTTACAACTATAATAGCATCAATAATTAATTTTATAATGCAAGTGGATCCAAATAATCAAGCAGAATCTGAACAAGAATGTGATGAAGAGTTAGAGGTATTTATTACTAGTTGCAAGAAAGATGTTTAGATTGCAACAAATAAGTTTTCATTAAAAATATACTTTAATTTCTTTTTAATTAAAAATCACGAAAGGCAAAATTAGCACACTTTTTTGAATTGAAGGATAAAGGAGTTCATTTTAATGATCATTTATTAAAAAACAAAGCATTTAGAAATCCACATATATATGATAAATTAGTTGAATTTGTCCATTTGGATGAAATAGGATCTAATTTTGATAGAGAAGTATATGATCCATATGGGTTTCCAGCGGAAGCATACGCAGATCAACTCGGTAAATTCATGCACAGTTTTGTATAACAATTCTAAAAAAATTTCTCTGTTTGTTTTTTTTTCGGTTCTTTTGTTTTTTTTTTTGTTTTATTATTATTTTCCATATTATAGACCAGAATATGATATGTATTTTTATTTCAAAGCGGCAACTCAAAAGAAAGTTGCAGAAGAACGCGAAGCAGCCAAAAAACAACAACAAAGATCACAATTAGCATTTGTTAGTTCTTCTTCTACATCATCATCATCATTATCATCTAGTAGCAATCATCATCATCAACATCAACATCAACATCAACATCAACATCAACGTCAACATCAACATCAACATCAACATCAACATCAACATCAACATCAGCAGCAACAGCAACAGCAACAAAGTATATCAAAAGCTCGACATGTGATGCAAAGTTTAGCGGCTAGAGCAGAAAAGTCTTCAAAACCTTATGGATTTACATCAACGTCAACTGCGCCTACAACTTCATCATCATCATCATCATCGAAAGCAGCAACAGTAATAGGTAAAAATAATCAGTGGTAAAAAAATCCATTTTTAATTAATTAATTTTAATAATAATACTTAATTACAAAGGTAAAAAACGTGCAAGTAAATGGGATGTTCCAGCAATAGAACCAATACCATCACCATCAACATCATTACTGCCATCAACAACTACCAACACCTCATCATCGTCATCATTACCATCATCACCGTCATCAAGTTCTAGAAATCATAATAATAATAATAATCATAGCAGTAGTAGTAAAAAACAAAAACCATGAAATTTTAAACAAATTAATTCTTAATTTTGAAATGATTCAATATTGATTATTGACAATTATATAGATATTAATATATATTACTTATTAACTGTTGTCTTTACATTAAGAAATAAAATAAAATTATATATATAAAGGGTTTTTTTATTATTATCTAAATATGGAAGAGGATGAAGTAATAATTTTAAAAAAAGATTAAATATGGGGCATGCTGCAACAAAACCAGACAAAGTGAACATTGGTATTACCAAGAATTTCAGGGACCAAAGTTCGAGTTTATTATAAAAATCATGAGATATTTTAAAAAAACTTCATGTGACACGAATTTCGCAATTTATTTTCACATATAGAAAAGCAGCCTCAGGGAAATGTCACACGACTAATAGGGTCAAATTATTAATGTAACAAATGAGCATAATGGAGTTTGTTGTTACACGAAATGTTATACAGAACTCATTGCTCCTGAAAACTTCACCAGTATATATATAGTTGTTACATCTCTAAATTGGAGATCAAGTTCAGATCCAATTCAAAATCCAGAATGTGTATTTATAGTATTATTGGTTGCACGTGATACTAATAAAAAATAAAAATTTTATCAAGAGCATTAAAATTGTTCATACAAGAAGAAAATGTTAAACCTTTTAGGCTTTGGCACTTATTACAATTGGCTTAATACTATCATGTTGTCATCTTCAATATCTTCAGTAACAAAGCTCTTATATTTTTTATAGTTAAAATTATTATATGGGCATGCTGCAAGAAAACCAAAGTGAACATTGGTGTTACTGTTGTATGTGAATTGAAATCCACATATGTGTAAACTCAATAAGTCAGTCATGTTGGGGTAAGCTCATATGACCGACTTATTGAGTAAACTGACTTATTGAATTAAATTACTTAAGGGTAGGGGATCACATGTAGATTAATAGTAACAATGGCTCAAAAAAAAAATAATGTCAATCATCATAAATGGGGAATGCTGCAACAAAACCAGACAAAGTGAACATTATAACTAACAGTTTTATAATATCCCATTTGTTATCTTAAGTGATATATAGAACTATCCCTGTATAAAAATAGTTAAGATGAAACTCATTTACATCAGATCTACCATGGAACCCAAGAATTACAGCACCATTAGAAGTATTTTAAAAAAGGAACAGGGTGAAAAAATTGCTCCTTATATTTTCAAAATAAATGATACTCAAACACTAGAAGCTTATCTAAGAAAAGAAAGGATTACCTATGAAATTTATCAAGAAGAAAGAAAAATAATAACTAATAAAAGAACATTGACACAAAACCATGATGAATCTAGAAAGAAAAGAAGATTAGAAGAAAAATAATTTACCACCTAATTCAGGTTAATTAATTCCTTAATTTTTTTTTCTTTTTTCCTAACAGATAGGCAAAAACCCTATCATCAATATTATTATTGTTCCTCCAAAGTGTAAGGTAAGTAATTGGTTGGGTTGGTTGATGGTAATTGTTCTTTCTTTTGCTCAGCAATTATTTGACTAAGTTCTGATTGGGATAAAAAGGTTTTATTATTGCTTTTTAAATAATTAAATACCTGTTGTAATTCAAGATTATTATTATTATATTCAACTACTAGTTTATTATCACCATCAAGAGTTACATTTTCTCATGCTGAATAAAAAACTGTTCTAATTGTTCCAAATCAAAGAGAGAGAAGGGTTTTTGTTCTTCCTCATTAAAATCATAGACATTTTTATATTTATCTTCTTGCTTCTCTTCTTCCTTTTTTTTTTCTAATTCAGTTAATAAGTCAGTAACTTGCTTTTTTAATTTCTTCATCCAGTAAATCCTGATCTAATAATTCTAATTCAAGCATTAGCTCATCAGAAGACATTTGATCTTGATTAGTTAAGAGATCTTGAGCTTTTTGCTCTGACTGAAAAGGAGATTTTACAGGAGAGGGGATGTTGGGTTCGGCTAACACCAGATTTCCATTAGAATAGCACATCCCAGGAATTTTTAGTGCCTTTGGTAATGCTGTTCATCTGCTTCTATTGCTCTGTTTCTGCATTATCAAGCAGCATCAGCTTCTATTCGTTCTTCTTCAGTGAGATGATGTGTCATGCATGGCATGTGGTATGGTATTAAGGTAGAAGTGACAGAAGAAGATAAAAGATTCAGTAGTATTGATATATATTTGTGCAGAAAGTATATAAAAAGAAAAAGTTATTATATGGGTTTTTTAAAAATTTAAAGTGGACAGTATTAGTAGTACAGATAGATAGAATTAGTAATAGATTAGAAAATAAATTGGAAGCTGTTTAATTTTTTTGTTATACATTAAAGAATTAGTAGTAGATAAACAGATATGTACATAGATTTAAAATTGAAATAAACAGATAAAATAAAACAAATTTTTTTTGTTGTAATCAATTTCGTTTTTTTTTGATTAATTTTATTTTATTTTATATAGATTATGAGTTAAATACATAATTACTGTACATATATGAGAACATGCACTTGGAATTAATCAAATCAAATTGTTGTCAAATTAAAAATAGTATAGATTAATAGTATTTTTGTTTTTATTTATAGATCATCTAAAAATCCAAAGTCAAGATCACACCCAATTCCAACAAATCAAATTTTACTAGATATATATGTTTTTGAAAATCCTCAAAATAAGAAAATTTATGAATTTCATTATAAACAACATATATGTTAAAAAATAATATTAATTTGTTATTAAGCAAATACTATATGAAAAAGGTAATTCAATCACTATCATAAGTAAGAATTGTAACTAAATCATTCTTTTCAATGTTGTGTAATTCCTGAAATGATGTTTGTTCTATCTCATTTATGATATTTAGTGATTTTTTCAATCTTTGATTTACTGAATATACGATGCGGATTAGTGAAATAATTGTCTCTGTAAATGATTCATTGTTATCATCCAATGGTATATATATACAACATAGTCTACGAGCTCTATGTAAGGGATAATATTTCCTATCCACAATGAAAATTTCAACGATGGTTCCTAAAGAGTAGAAAAAATCTATTATAAGCATTATAAAATTAAAAAATTTAAAATTTAAATAGCTTACCATGACAATGGATCAATATTGTTTCAATATTAAAAAAGTTACTAATATCAGTGGGTTTATTCTTGAATGAATTTATCATCTTATCCCAACCATCTTTAGCAAACTTTAGTAATTTATTGTGATCATTTTTTATATGATCAGTACAGCTTGTGTTTCTTTTTCTTGGACCATTACTGATTTCACCATAACATATTTCCCAATTTAAAAATTTTCCAAATATGTAACCATGTAGGTCAGGCTTTTTCCATGGGCCATTTGTATCATCGTTTCTTTCTCTTGTAGCCTCACTCATGTTATTGTCCCTATGAAAATTTATGAATAACAATAAGAGATCATATAAAATAAATAGAGAATAACAATATTTAAAGACTTGCCATTGATAAGTCAAATCATAAATATCATAAAATATTAGCCGAGTGATTGGATTTATTCCATCATGAGACCATGTGGATTCTAGTATTTCTTCATTTCTAGAGTACATTCTTATTTTTTTTATTCCTATGAAATGAGATACAAAATTCCTGCATGCAATAAACAAATCAAAAAATTCCGATTCAAAATATTTTTCAGGTATGTTATAGCGTTCATTCTTATTCATGTATTCTCTGTTGAACTCCTCTAATCCACCTGGAAGATCATCAATAGATAAGCCTTGATTTACATCATCAAAAACATTTCCCATCTTTAATTCACTAACGATATTACTCTGTAAAAATATTACATCAATAATCCCTGACAAAAGTGGATCATTTTTTATTAGCTTTGTATTTGTGATATTTCCTGCAATTATTTGTGTTACTAGATTAACATCCTCCTTATATTGTAGCTGTAATAATTATTAAATATTTAATTAATATACTGTATATATATCAATATAAAACAAATAAAAAAATGAAAATTTACAGTCCCCGGTGAAAAGAATGGCGGTGGAGATACCACATCTATTTTTGGCCACAACATCACCATTTTTCCAAATTGGGCCATTGTTTATATTACCAAATTGGACAATGGATTGTTTATTTAATAAGTAAGTTGTAAACAATTAGGTTTGTTATTGTTTACATTTTGTTTTTGCCCGCTAAAAAATGCCAAGTCCACTTGAAATCCAGCGAAATGCCGTTAAGTCACTTTGGCAACAAAACGTGCGTAATGCAAAAGAAATTTCTGAACGATTGAATATCCCTTTACGCTCCTGTGAATGATATGTCAGTAAATTACGTAAAAATGGCAATAACTCTATAAATCACTCACCTGGTCACCCAAGAAAGTTGTCCCCCAAGAAACGCCGCCATATTGGAAAAATTTTGAAACACAACCACTTCACGACGGCAGGCGAACTTAAGGCTAAACTGGAGGAAAATGACCCTGAGCTCGAGGTCAGTGAACGTACAGTTCGTCGTGAGCTAAAAAATCTCAGTTACATTTCAATTCTTCCATGAAAAGTGCCTCTCTTGACCCAGAGAGCAAAGGACGTTCGCTTGTCTTGGGCACGTGAACATTGGCACTACAACTGGAGGAAAGTTGTTTTTTTCTGATGAAACAACACTCCAGATGTTTAGCAACACAATTAATGCATGGTCTCGTAATGCACAACCTGTCGCTCCTATGGTAAAACATCCGTTCAAAGTTCACGTTTGGGCGGCGATTAGTGTCAAAGGAAAAATCGGAATTCATCTGTTCACAGAAAATTTGGATCGTCATTTGTACCAGAGAATTCTTGACAATCATTTATACGACAATGCAAACATGTTACATGGCCGTAACTGGGTCTTTCAGCAAGACAATGACCCAAAACACACCTCATGAGATGTTCGGCGTGACTTGGAAGAACGTCTTCCAAGATGGGTTCTTTCTTGGCCTTCATACAGCCCAGACCTGAATCCTATTGAGAATGTATGGGCCATTTTAAAGAGAAAAGTAGAGAGAAAGGTCAAGAATTTAGTGGCAAAAAATAAAAAAATCTCACAAGAGATTTTTCTTACCATAATCCGGCAGGAATGGGACAATCTTGACAATAATGTGTTACTTCGGTGCATTGAAAGCATGCCAAACCGAATTCAAGCATGCATCAATGCACAAGGAGGCCATACAAAATATTAATCATATAATAAAAAATGTTGTGTTAGTATCATACTTTAAATAATAAAAAAATAATATTAAATTAATAATGAAAATTTTACGTACCTTTAAAAAATGTGTCCGCCATTCTTTTCACCGGGGACTGTACAACCTTCACAGAATCTATCAGAATATCTTATCAATTTACATTTGTTACATTTTTTTGGTTTGCCTGATTTGTCTTTTGCATTTACTAATTCAAAATCATAAATAAACTTTTCTTTACAAAATTCTTTTTCATTTTCAGAAAGCTCCTTGTTTTTTTCAACTAATGAAAAAAAACAATCTTTTTTACTTTTTTCATCAGGATTAGCCATTGTATTATTGTGCATTTCAATATCAATTTTTAATACAAATCCCACTCTTTCTGGTGATAATAATTTATTATGTGACATTATATAAAAATTTAAAATTTAAAGCTTGACTTGATGTTTTAATGAATAGAATGGCGTGTATAACAAACATTTTCCTGTGCCCTTTTAAAATTTCCCCGCAGTAATAGGATTGATAAAAAATTGCATTATTTAAAGAACAACTTTAACATCAGCAAAAATTCATCATCAAACTTTAGTGATTGATTCATTCTTCCTTTTCTTTGTTTACTATTTTTATCACTTTTAAAAACTTTTAAAATTAAAACTTACAAAACATCTGTACTTAAACCTAAAAGTCGTTTTACGTACCAATATTGACCAGCCTATGTGTGTTTCAAACTCAGACACTAAATACAGCTCAAACATATTATTAATATTATTATTACGCATATTTGGTTGACTTCAAAGTCAAAATTCGAAAAAAATATAAAGTTAACACAACTCGTATGTATGTTGCTCTACATGCCAATATTGACCTGCCTATGTGTGCTTTGAACTCAGGAGCTAAAGACAATTCGAATGCGTTTGATTTTTACAAAGTGTAATAATAAAAGAAGAAATATTAAATAATAGTAAAAAAAAAGAAGCTTTTTTATTTTTAATAAGTAGTTTCATATGATTATTTTCAATACAGTTTAATTAAGACTTCCTATGATATTTATTCTTCTTGCATCATTGCAATATACATATATACAGTGATGATAATTCTTTATTTATCCCCAGAGCACACATTTTTACAGCGTAACATTTTTTATTGCCCATTCATTTTATATCATCTCAAAACTTTACCAAGCAAAATGGGTATAGTTCCCAGGCTAGAATTAAACCTTGCGAATAATTGCATATTAACTCAGAAAATCGAGATTTTGCTGTTTGGGCTGTTTTATTTTCCGCGCCCATTTATCACACATACTCACAATACTAAAGGTATGCCACCCTTTTTTGGCGAATTGCCTTTGTGTAGTGACTGTTTTGATACTTGTTTCGGCTTGAAAACAAATGTTATACGGGTGAAGTTTCGAGTACATCTTCAGCTACCCGACGAAACTTTCAGCTAGAGGAAGGCAAAAGACAACAGATTGAGTCCGAAGGCTGTCAACATAGACAATAAGGAACTTCTCATATTTGAGCTGCCCCCAAGGACTACTACAACTTGATATTCCCTATTAACATTAGGGTTTTGCTATCAAAGTGCAAGGAATCCAACATGAACGATATAATAAATTATTTCATAAAGGAGATCTAAAAAATTTTATTAAATATCATTATTTAACGATTATATTTATACTTTTGTGTCCTCTGTTACTTGGTAATCATTATTATTGTTGTGGTTGTCATCGCGATTTTTTTTGACTTCTGCAATTAACCATCTAGTTTATTAGAGATACTGTCGCGATCATCCCTAATATTATTGTAATTTTGACCTAAATATATAAAATAAAAATTAAATGATAATAAATTAAATAACAAACAACACATTGCATCATAAAAACAATTGTCATCATTATCGTATCTACCAATTCTTTTGTCAGAATTATTGACTTTTAATAAATCTAGAGCATGGATTTGTCGAAATTATAATAATCGCTATTGGTTACGATCTTTTTGCTGGGGACTCGTTGTTCTTTTAAAAAGAGAATTGATCATGTAATTTCGTAGTCTTTGTATTCTTTTTCATATTTTAAAAAAAACTATTTGACTAATTAACTCTAGGTACAACTTTAGAGTACTTTTGAGAAATCTCCTCAAACTCTTCGGATGGAAACTGCGCCAACATAAGGGTAAATTTTTACCTTTGGCCTGAAATCCAAATACCTCGAGTTCCTTAGCCAGCACAAATCACACAATCTATAATATTCTTCAAGAAGGTTGTTAAGTACACCCACCACGCACTGGTCGAGTTTCCTTCCGGGTGTCTAGTTGGGAGCCGAGTATGTGCCCCAGACAATTCAAATATTAGAAGTTCTTTTTCGTGGACACTTACAAGAGATCTGATCCATCGTTTTTTTACCCTCCACCAGCTAGAATTTCGACGGTAGGCTGATTACAGGCTCGAAATTTCACCCCCAAGTATTTTGTTGTCAAGCCGAAACAGGTATCAAACAGTCAGTCGCACAGAGGTAATCCATAAAAAAGGGTAGCTCACTTACCAAGTTACATCTGTGAGGCCTTTGAATATGAAAATAAACGGTTGTAGGGTTTCTTCTATAGTCATGCACAAAAATGACTCATCAGTTGATCATTGCACAGAGTACTCTGGTCGGGTTTCAAGACAAAATACCGTCGTTTGATATTATTAGTTAATAGGTAGGTTCGATTCCTTTTTAGAGTACACCTTCAACGACAATTCTTTGCTTCTTTTGAAACAATAAAAATAACTTGGTCCAATCAATTGTGTAAGGTTTTTTTCATAAATTCGATTTTCTCATTTTTTTGTCTGAAAGTTAATTGCCAAAAAAAACATAGCCCTAATTCTTTTTTTTACATTTCTCAAAGATTCGTAAAAAAAAATTGGTTGTTTTTGATTAAGGAAAAGAAAAAGTGCACCCATCATACATAATAAGTTCAACAAAAATTATAATAATAAAAATGTTTGTCAAAACTGAAGTTAATAATCGTATTTGGGATTATAGAAAACAATCAGAATGTCGCACAAATAAATTATGCAAAATTTCTAATTTCTATAACCTTCCATATATTATCCAATATTAAATAAAAATCTAAAAAAATTATGTAAAATATATATATATATAGAATAATAAAATTTTTTAAAGAAAAAAGTTCTTATTTATTCTAAAAAAAATTTATTGTCTAATCTATCTTTGTGCGATTGGTTTTGGTTTATTGTTCCCAAATAAAAACTTGGAAACGTATTCTACTAGCCACGCTAATCCAAAATTAAACAATATAGTTGTTGTGAGAGAAACTTTAAACTATTGATGAATTTAATAAATAATTTGATTAATAAATAATTTAGTCAACATTATCAATCAATTAAAAAAAATTTACCTCTTTACTCATAGGTACAAGTTGTAACATACTATTAACTTCAGGTACAAACTCTGTGGCACAAGAGACAACTATGGCAGCAACTGTACACAATCCATAATACAATGTTGTATTCTCTTGTAAACTTTCTCTAAAAGGATGTCCCTATAAAATATAGAAATGAATAATATTATATATTAAATATTATTATGTATAAATATCTGATAAATAATAACTTGCTGTGATGATTTTACCTGATAATTGATAGCAAATGTAGAAACTTGCATTGATAGTGATATCAAATATACTGCTGTATTAAGCAATGTCGGTTCAAATTCTTTTTCTGGATCAGATTCTTGATCTGGATCAAATTCCACACGTCTAATTTATTTTATTAATTAGTTTTAAGTCATTTAATTCGAACCTAAAATACTCATTGATATATTGATTTCTAACTTACTCCTCGTAACGAAATACCAGCTCAACAACGTATATTAAAGAGGCTATATGAATAGCGAATTGTCCGAGAATTGATAAAATAATATAAAAGTTGAATACATTGGTTTGAGGTCGTTGTTTAGATAAATTTTCAAGAGGCTAAAAAAAAAATTAGATCCGTACACTATTGTTATTAATAATAACATAAAAATTTTTAGTTTATAAATAATAATAAAACATTTACCTTGGCTTTTGATATACAAAGGAAACATACTGCAAGCAAAACTCCTGAAATTGTTACTTGTCTATAAATATTTATTAATAATAGTATTAAAAGTATTAGTAATCATTCTATTACATATATGTATACACACACACACACACACACACACACACACACACACACACATACACGTTTACACACAATCTCTCCCCTGTATTACTTACAAATCACCATATTTAATTCCTTCCAAATATAAAACACTAAGACTATATGCTGTTATTAAACAATTCAATGCCAGAATTTTATACATTTGAATTGTAGCAACCAATGTACATCTTCCTTGTCTAATAATATTTGCAACTACAAATATACATTAATTAAGCATTAGATGAATTAATATAAATTTTATTTGAATGCATTTAAAATTCAATTCTTACTGGCTACAACATTAGAAAGTTTAGATGTGAATGGTGCCGCTACTGATGCATCCCCCAATTTTATGGTAGGCGGTTCATCTTCCATATCAAGAAGCTGTTCTGTAATATTATCAACCTAAATGTTCATGTGCACATATACAATTAATGAAAAATGTGATTTTATAATGACCCTCATGTATAAATATGCAATCTAAACAATATATCACAAAACCTGTGCCTGCGGTAGATTTGGTCTTCTATTATTAGTGTTTTGTTGAAGTTGTTGTGTTATGTTTGGATATAAATGTGCAATTGCTGGTGGTGGCGGCGGCGGCGGCATATTAAATTTGGCTGTGAATTTTAACTGATTTTCATACATATCTTTTAATCGTTGCATTCGTTGATGTTCAGCTATTTTTCTAAGATCTTCTGGTTTACCATCAAGAAGTGCTACTCCAACGTGCGCTTGTTTCAATGCACCAACATCGTTTGTACCATCACCACACATCAATGTTATATATCCTGCTTGTTTAAGTCCAGTTAATATAAATTCCTATTATTCCACAGCAAACATATGTGTTGGTAAAAATTATTAAATATATATGAGCATCTATATCTGTGAAACCATTTATATTTGTTTATACACACACCTTTTGACCAGGTGAAACCCTTGCATAAACCCATGTGTGTTCTAGTAAGTCTTTTACTGATTTTCTATTTTCAAATTGCGCTAATGCTGCTCCTGTCACACATATATCATAATTTTGAAGTATTGTTGGATCAATGTCCTTTAAAGGATCAACTTGTATAATGGTTTTTTCATCGATAGATTTCCAGATAATATCTAATAGATAAAAATAATATTAAATATTTATTAGATACGAATGGATATAGACTCATTTTTTATTACCCCAAAAATATAATTTTACCATCATCGCTAGCTTCATCTTTACGAAGATCCAAAATTAATACTTCACGATTAATGATTTCAACTTCGCGAGCAACATGACATGCTGTCAAAGGATTATCACCAGTAATCATAATAACCTATATTTGTATAATTAAATTTAATAATAATAGTAATAGCAGCAGCAGCAGCAGTAGCAGTAATAATAGCATAAGTAATAACGGGAATAAATACATACCCTGTGTGAAGATTCATTTAACACTTTAATGGTTGAAATTGCATCATCTTTTAATGGACAATCAAAAATAAGAAATCCTGCAAATTTAAGGTCACATTCAACTGATTCACGTGTGAGGTCATTAACCTGTCGTTATATATAGAGGAGTTTTAAAAATAAATAAATATATATAATAATTCAGTGTTTGAAAGTTATAAATTAACAAACAATACCTCTTTAATACTCATGTTATCATTTAAATATTTATATCCTAACGCTAACACTCTATTGCCCCGTCGTGTAAAGAATTTATAAGTATCCTCGTAATCATCAGGTGCATATTCATACATGCTATGAAGAGTTTCAGGTGCTCCTTTGACTGCAACAAAAGTCTTTTTACCACGATTTATATTCAATGTTGAAATACTTGACATACGTTTAAGTTTTGATGAAAATTGAAATCGCCGACAAATTTGTAGTTGGGAACGTTGTTGAAACCGTTGAGATTGATTATTTGCAGGTATAACAGTATCACCTTTCAAAAAAGGAAGATATATGTAAATGTATTTATTATGTGTTAATAAAATTTCAAATGTCAAAATCGCTACCATTTCCAAGCTTCCAATCTAATGCCTCTAAAGTTGCTTTTTCCATAGGATCACCAACGATTCCATCATCTAACTTAACCAATGCATGTGCAGCAGCTAAGGTTTGAATAGTCTCTCTTAAAGCATCTTTTGGATCAGTTAATTCCTTTGGATCATTAGGACTGATATATTAATATATAAATATTAATACGAATGTTTAATATAATTTATTTAAAATTGACAAATAAATAAATATATTTGCATACTGAATACCAGCTATTCCTCTTACAACAAGACTTTCACCAGTCAAAGTTCCCGTTTTATCAAATGCACAAACATCAAGTTTTCCAGCAAATGGAATTCTAAATGGCTCAGTACAATATATTGCTGTTATGGGTTTATAAATCAAACAGTGTTATTAACAATAATTTATTTTTAAATGATAAAAAATAAAGGTTTATAAAATTATAAATTACAAATGTTTATTTTCTTACCATATTTTGCCAATGCTACCAAAGACGTGTTAACAGCCAAAGATAATTCCATGGGCAATTCTGGTGGTACAACTGATGTTATAATTATAATAGAATCATATAATAATTTTGTTTTCTTGCGATTTTTTTCAACACCTAAATTTAAACATGCAAGGAATTATAAATGAATAAATATTATATATTGCTATTATAGTCTCAACATCATTTTAATAATCGTTTTCACCTTTAACGCACACGTATCCAGCAGCTGAAATTGCAAAAACCAACAAGAATAATATAAATAAAAATGTTTCTATATTATTGGCAGATACGTGCTCTGTGCTGTATACCATTGTGCGTACGAGTTTCCCTTGAACAGTGCCAAACCCAGTACGAATGACATATGCAATACATCCATTATCAGGGGCTATACAAAGACAATGCTTTGATTTTAATAATGCTTATAATTTAGAATAAAAATATATATTTCGTAATTTACCTGTTAATGAATCATCAGGTGACGGTGGAGTGACCTGAAGAATTTTGGTACCACCAAATATTATACTATTCTTGTCAATGCCATTCATATCTAAATGATCGCTGCTATCACGAAGTGCTATTGATTCCTAAATTTGAAATGCGATAAAATCATCTATATATAAATACTTAATATTCAAGACAACTAAACTAAGTAAATAAAAGTTAGAATCAAACCTTCAATAACGGTGTTGATTCACCTGAAAGCATAGCTTCATTCACGATACAACTACCATTCAAAAGTACCATGTCACAAGCAATTCCGCTATCTTCCTTACTACGAACTGAACAAAAAATATTTCCACGCAAAAAAGGTGATTAATTAATAATAGATCTATATAAAAAAAAAAAAATCAAATCATATAAAATAATTGTTTACCAACAGATACCAGATCACCCGGTAAAACTTCATCTGAATTAATTGTAATCCATGTGTTGTTACGTCTAACTTGAATAGAATAAGGTTTGATAGACATTGTTCGAAACTCGGCCAAAGTTTTTAATCTCTATAAAAAATATCATGATTTGGGAATATTTCTTATTAAAGCATCTGGTTTGATTTTATGATAATAAATACAAATGGTTTGAATATGACGATGTTTATTACCTGAAAAACAACCGTGGACTCAAATACAACCAACATGAATAGTGTAAATAATGAATAATACCAATAATCATCGATTAACCATAATCCAACACAAAATAGTTGAAAAACGAAGAAAGGAGCAACAGCGTGTTCTTTAAATAGTTCACGAAAAGTTGGTATAGGTATATCAAAACTAAATCAAATAATAATTATTAATTGATATAAATTCTTTACAACCGATAAATTAAAAAATCAATAATTTATATATATATATATATTATATTTGTCTATTTATTTATTTACCGATTTTGTCCGTATTTTTCTAGAGTCAATTTTATATCATCATCAATTACAAATCCTTCGGCATTTTTAAACATTGAAATTGGAGGATTTCCGTCACAAGGATAGCTTAATTTATTAAAAATTTTTTTATCAGGATCCCAAACATATTTTTTCTTTTGAAAAGTAAAAGATATTTCCCCGTTCTAAAAAAAATAGATGGAACCAAATAAATTCAAAATAATGCACGCAACACACACACGTACACACACACACACATGTGTATATCTATACAAACAAGTAAATTAAAAAAGAAAATATGATATCATACATCTGCATGATAAAGATCACACAAGTCTCCTTTTCCTTTATGCAGCGCAGGAATTATTTTAATCGCTTTAGCCTTTTGTATATTGTTTTCCTAATAAAAATAATATTAAAAAGTTTAATTACAATCAATCATAATATACATAACCATAATAAATAGAATTTTACCTTTACACAAGTAAAAAATGCTCTTGCTTGTACGCTCCATTGACAACTCAAAAATACCAATGCATTCATGGTAAACAGACATCCAAAAGTAACAAAAGTCCATTCCTCTGATCCCAAGTACTCTTCATATGCATTTGTATATATATAAAGCCACACAATATATAGACACGTAAAAGGCCATACATAACCATGCCACTTTAATGGTTTCCGTATGTACAAAGCAGAATCTTTAACTGATTTTGAGTTAATAAGCTTCATGGGATAATCTATAAAAAAAAGAAACAGGGTATATATATAAAAGAATTTTAAATCAACTAAATGGCTCGTCAAAATTGATCTTATAAATGCTTGCTATCATAAAAATATAAAAATTTTTTTTTGATCTAATGGTCTCTTTTTTTTGTAAAATTAATAAAATGTCAGATAAGCAATGTGGAATTTAATCATTGGATTTTGAAAAAAAAAACTATAAATGACGTCATCATAATAATCTAAAGTTTCACGAGATCAAGGTGCATAAAATTTATTTTATAAAATACGCAATATTGGTTTTTTTTTCTTTATATGACTTGAATTTGCATTATTTCTTCTTTTACTTTTTTTTTTAGCATTCAATAATTTTTCAATAATTTTTCAATTTCAATTTCCAGCTTCTTTTCTTGTTGTTCGCCCAAATCTCTTAAATAACCTTCCACGGTAAATTTTTTAATTTGCGATTGATTTGATGTTATAATTGGTGATCTTGATAATGTCGGTGATGATAGCAATGTTGGTAATCTTGATAGTATTGGCGAAGTGAAAAATGTTGGTAATTTTGATAGAATTGGTGAAGTGAAAAATGTTGGGGTGGTGATCGTTTCAATAACATTATCATTATTTTCATCCACCATAAAATTATT